TCACGCGTCTCTCCAACACGACTCGTCCGGCGCCTCTCTCCCTTCCAACCCTCACACCCACCACTCCATCATACATCACAATGGCTCCCAAGGGAACGACCAAGGCCGCGGCGCCCAAGAAGGCCGCTGCTGCCACCGCCAAGTCTGCCCCCAAGGCGACGACAACCAAGAAGGCTGCCGCCGCGGCGCCCAAGCCCGCCGTCAACGGCACATCGGCCGCGTCCAAGAAGCGCAAGGCTGACGACGACGAGCCCGCCGATGGTGAGTCCAGCGAGGACGTGCCCAAGACGAAGAAGGCCAAGACGACCAAGGAGCCTGTCAAGAAGGTGGCTGCCGTCAAGAAGACGACCACCACAACCAGCAAGGCCAAGGCTGCTGCTGCTCCTGCTCCTGCCAAGAAGGAGGCTGCTGCTCCTGTTGTCAAAAAGGTCGCGAAGAAGTCCGCTACACCCAAGAGTGATGTCGAGAGCGCTTCCGAGTCGGAGCCCGAGAAGGAGGCTCCTAAGAAGGCTGAGCCCAAGAAGGCCGCCGCCGCCACCAAGAAGGCCGAGCCCAAGAAGGCCGCGCCCAAGAAGGCCGCCGTCACAAAGGCCGCGCCCAAGGCTGCGAGCAAGCGCAAGGCCACCGAGGAGCCGACCGATGACGAGTCTGACAGCAAGAAGACCAAGAATGCCGTCAAGCCCAAGAAGGAGGCCAAGCCCAAGGCCCAGCCCAAGCCTGCCGCGCCCCCCAAGCACCCCCACACTGTCGGCCGCAAGATCAACGATGCCCCTACGACCCTGCTCGACGTGTACGTCTTTGGCGAGGGCTCTTCCGGTGAGCTCGGCCTCGGCAGCAAGAAGCACGACGGCAAAAAGCCCATCGACGTGAAGCGTCCTCGCATCAACCACAACCTCGCCCGCACGCCCGTCGGTGTTGTCCAGATTGCCTGCGGTGGCATGCACGTTGCGGCCCTGACCCACGACAACAAGATTCTCACCTGGGTGTCAACGACCAGGGCGCCCTCGGACGCGACACCAACTGGGACGGCGGCCTCCGTGATGCTGACCAGGCTAGCGACTCTGGGTCGGACGACGAGGACGATGATTCGGGTGTCAACCCCCGCGAGTCGACCCCCACCGCTGTGCCTGCCGAGCATTTTGCCCCCGATGCCAAGTTCGTCCAGGTCGTCGCCAGCGACAGCGCCACCTTTGCTCTGACCGAAGACGGTCGCGTCTATGGATGGGGTACCTTCCGCGTAAGTTACGGATCTGTCCGTATAGTGGTAACTCGACTAACAACGGAAACAACAGTCCAGCGACGGTATCCTCGGCTTCAACCACGACATCAAGATCCAGATGACACCGCTGTACATCCCCGAGCTCAAGTCGATCAAGGCTCTCGCCGCCGGGTCCAACCATATCCTCGCCCTGGAGAACAAGGGCAACGTCCTCGCCTGGGGCTGTGGCCAGCAAAACCAGCTCGGCCGCCGCATCATCGAGCGCAACAAGATGTCCTCCCTCGTGCCCCAGGGCATGGGCATCCCCAAGAAGAACATTGAGAAGATTGCCTGTGGACAGTACCACAGCTTCGCCCTCGACACCAAGGGCCGCGTCTACGCCTGGGGTCTCAACAACTTTGCCGAGACGGGCATCCGCGAGGGCGCCGGCGAGGATGACGCCGTCATTCTGCGTCCCACAATTGTCGACTCTCTTGAGGAGCATAAGATTGTGGACATTGCTGGTGGTCAGCACCACTCCCTGGCCTGCACCGAAGACGGCAAGCTCCTGACGTGGGGCCGCTTCGACGGCTTCCAGGTTGGTTTCGCCGAGAGCGCCGTGTCCGAGGACGACCTCATCCGCGACGAGAGCAACAATGCTCGCATTCTGGCCGTGCCCACTGTCGTTCCTTGTAAGCTTTACTTCCCCTTTTCGCGCGTCTTCTTGCCACACATGCTAACGATGCGCAGCCCCTGAGGGAGTCGTCCGCGTCGCCGCCGGCACCGACAACAACTTCGCTATCACCAAGGACGGCAAGGCCTACTCGTGGGGTTTCTCGTCCAACTACCAGACGGGCCAGGGCACCATTGAAGATGTTGAGGCGCCCACGCTCATCGACAACACGGCCGTCCGCGGGCAGAAGCTCGTGTCTGCCGGCGCGGGTGGCCAGTTTTCCATCCTGTGCGGTGTGCCAGCCGAGTCTTCGTAATGGACCTACCCGCGGGCAATCTTGAACGGGCAAGGCGGCCTTGTGGCCGTGGAAGACGAGACACCACCCCCCAGCGGTCGTTGCGGGCTCGCGAGGAGCTTTCACGTGATGCGACGATGTACGAGGGATGGAAGATGAGAACCCAAGGCATGTCAGCCCTGGGATGATGAAATGGGGGGTTTATTCGAAAATCTGTACATTGTGTTTTTTTTTGGGAACTTCGCGCTGCTGCCGTTCACCCACGGCACCATTTTTGAGCGGCAGCGGCTCTGTGTCGGGACGGCACCTCACGTCTGGGCGGCATTTTGTGTTTATAATTTTAGAGTATTTCAACCGCCTCACCTGTTTCGATACGTCTTTGCTGCATGCCTGGCGCCACAACTATTGATGCGACTTGATGCTTCGGATTTGCGCATCACAGTATCATCTGGATTAGAAACCAGACACTGCTTGTCACTGTCGGCTGGGAACCGTGTAGACTGTTGAGCCGCTGTAATTCAGTATGATTTTCGCATCAAGCATGACGGCCTATGGTATACATCCCACGACAGTAGCAGCATCCACCACGCATCGCCATGCGGGCCAGGTACGCCATTTCCCACGCCAAAAGCCCGGCGAACCAAGTTTCGTGTCCCCCTTTTTTGTGTCTGCACAGCTGCTGCACCCTATCCCCGCCTCGCGCGTCTGCCTCTCGTTCCCGGGGGGGAGGGGGAGAAAGAAAAAAAAAAAGAGAACAGCCAACTGCCCCCCCCTCCAGCCCAGCCGCCGAAAGAAAAGAAAAAGGGGCAGCCCTACGCCTTTCAGCCCAGCCCGCCGCCGCACCAAGGGTGCCTCCCCCCGCGAAGCTGAAGACGCCCATGAATGCCGAAGCCGAAGTAGAAGAGGGCGAGCGGGTAGTCGAATGGAGGAGGGCGCATGCTCCATATATGCGGTCGGATGGCGACGAACATGGCCG